CTTCTAAATTCAGTTTAAACGATCAAATGATAAATTGCAGAAATGTGACATACATTCAAACATATTTATAAAAGTCCAACCCCCCTCCCCCCACCCCCATAGAAGTGTGACGTCTATTATGGAAGAAACGTTTTGAATTTTCAACATTGCAGTCAGAGTTTCTTCCAGGCATCTCTTCGGGGGGGCGAAGCCCCCCCGAAAAATTTTTACCGCCCCCCCGAACGAAATGAAATTTATATAATTTATATAGAAAATATATACTTTTATCCGTGTCCGCCCCCCCCCGAAGAAAGTCTACCGCCCCCCCCGAAAATTTCAAGTGCCCCCCCGGAGAAAAAAGTCTGGAAGAAACACTGATTGCAGTTTAGACCATAATACAATAACAGCCTCTGTAACAATCGACAATAAATATAGTAACGTTAACATAATATTATCTCATGTCCAGGTTCCCCAATATATGTATAATAAGAAATCAATTAACTAGAGTATAACACGCAAGGTAGTGTGTCATTCCTTCTTACACTCAACTGTTTATGTACTCGGTCTTCATCAGCGTGGATAGAATATTTGTATTGAATATTCCGTATGCTTCTACATTTAATTTTTGGGCAGTTCTAACTATTCAATTAATCCATTGATAAATATATTTAGACGGACATGATAGGAAATCACTCTGAATCAGTGTTTCTTCCAGCCTTTTTTCTCCGGGGGGGGGGGGGGGGAACTTGAAATTTTCGGGGGGGGGGGGGGGCGGTAGACTTTCTTCGGGGGGAGGGGGGGGGGTGGCTTCCCCCCCCCCCCTGAAGAGATGCCTGAAAGAAACTCTGCTCTATATACCTAAGGGGAATGCCTAACACCTGCGATCATTTTATCTGGTCTAGAGGGGGCGGACACTATTTATTTAATTATTTTTCCTGTATATATTTTGCTATTTTTTGCCTTGGTGTGCCCCTAAATGGTTTCACCCGGTGCGATCCGCACCCCTGCCCCCCCCCTCGATACGCCTCTGTATATATATATATATATATATATATATATATATATATATATATATATATATATATATATATATATATATATATATATATATATGCCTATATAGACCTATCAATATATAAAGTGTTTTTATAGGACTATATTTATAATTATATATATGACTTTATATATATATATATATATATATGGTCAGTGGCCATATGGTATTGACTGGACCAGCTGTCCCCAATCCTCCCACGTTGAAGCAGAGAGATGACAGGAGGACAGGAGGAAACGTGTCTATTTTTATCGCCGCGCGGAGAACTCTAGGCTTCCCATGTTGCCATGTTACCAGATCACGTGATCGCGCTCTTGACGTCATTGCATTATTATATGCTGCGGCGGGCATCAGATAATCGTTATCTGTTCATTGAGTGTGGTGGGCATCAGATAATTGCTATCTGTTCAATCACAGTCTGGTGGGCATAAGCTAATTGCTTTTATATTCTGCAGTTGGCATCAGATAAGTGATATCTGCTGTATGTTGTGTTGTCATTAAACAGTTATCTGTTGTATGCTGGCTGTGGTGGGCATCAGATAATTGATGTTATATGCTGTGGTGGGCATCAGATAATTGCTGTTATATGCCGTGGTGGGAATAATTGCTGTTATATGCCGTGGTGGGCATCAGATAATTGCTGTTACATGCCGTGGTGGGCATCAGATAATTGCTGTTACATGCCGTGGTGGGCATCATATAATTTCTGTTATATGCTGTGGTGGGCTTCAGATAATTGCTGTTATATGCTGGTTGTAGTGGACATCATATAATTGCTGTTATATGCTGTGGTGGGCATCAGATAATTGCTGTTATATGCTGTGGTGGGCATCATATAATTGCTGTTATATGCCGTGGTGGGCATCAGATAATTGCTGTTATATGCTGTGGTGGACATCATATAATTGATGTTATATGTTGTGGTGGGCATCATATAATTTCTGTTATAAGCTGTGGTGGGCATCAGATAATTGCTGTTATATGCCGTGGTGGGCATCAGATAATTGATGTTATATGCCGTGGTGGGCATCAGATAATTGATGTTATATGCCGGCTGTGGTGGGCATCAGATAATTGCTGTTATATGCCGTGGTGGGCATCAGATAATTGATGTTATATGCCGGCTGTGGTGGGCATCAGATAATTGCTGTTATATGCCGTGGTGGGCATCAGATAATTGCTGTTATATATGCTGTGGTGGGCATCAGATAATTGCTGTTATATGCCGTGGTGGGCATCAGATAATTGATGTTATATGCCGGCTGTGGTGGGCATCAGATAATTGCTATGGTGAAATGTCTAGCTCTTGACTTATTGGTTTATAGACTTAATTTTCTTTCTGTAACGCTATCAGCTTCTCAATAATTCAGCGCCCCATCGTTTAGTTTCTAGCCCCGGGGCATCTGACCCCCCCCCCCCTCAGCAAAGTCTATAGGCGTGGTGTGATAAGTGGGCCCGTCTGTCACAATGTGACGTGACATAAATAAAAACTTTCTTCAAAGCATCTCTCACCCCCCCCCCCCCTTCCAGACGAAGTAACCCTTATATACAAAATGATATGTCCGCTTCACAGAAATGTTTAAGCGAGCCCCTTCGGAAGTTGATAAAGATAGATGTCTGAAAGAAACCATTATCCAGGGTCCTATAGACTGTCACACCTAACCGTATTTTTAGGATTCAGGCCTATTTACGGAGTTTCCATCAGACATTTTTCTCCGGGAGGGAGAGGGGATACACTGAAAATTTTCGGTCGAGGGGATGGACAAATTTTCTATTTGCATTACTTGGACCGGGATGGGGGAGGGGGGTGCATCTTAAATAGCATCAGTCGTTCTAACACTCCCTTCCCTTTTTTGACCGTCCCTCCCCACTTCGGATGAGTATAATTCAGACGTGTAGCGACCCCTCCCGGGGACAAACTTTCAATTAGGCGCCCCCCCCCTCCATATATTTTTTTTTATATTTTTAATTCAAAACTGCAGCTAAAATGAGCTTTTAATTTTTTTCAACCCATTTTGGCGCCCTTAGGGTTGGCGCGGGAACACATGTCTCCCTCCTCCCCCCCCCCCCCCCCCCCGTCGCTACGCCTCTGGTATGATTAGACACTACATCTATAGATCAAACCCCACCTAAACTTTAAATGACCATTGTTATAACGTGCGTGATGAAATATTTAAAAAAATCCCCTTTTTGTGTCGGCGGCGACAAACTCGATGAACCCCTACTCTGTTGACACGTTACATCATTAATGAACCGGTTTTCTTTTTATTAATTTAGCTGGACAGTACCAGAAGTTGCCAGATATGCTGTTGCTAGTTTAGGCCAAAACATTTTAAATTCCTTTAACGATGTTTTTTTTATTTATTTTTTTATTTGGAATACTAAGAATACTTGTCCTTTGGAACCAAATTCCTGGTTCTATTTGAACATTTCGCTTCTCTTTGTCTCGAGATGTTACGAGTCAATGCCTGTGCGTCATGGCTATCTTTTTTTTTTGGCATCATTGCAAGGGGGCGAGTTTTTTTTCTTAAATAACTTTTTTTTAAGCATCGCGTCAATGCGGGTTTGACGTCACCAAGTGCGTCACACTAGGCTTGAGATTGATGTAGAACGTCTGATGACGCGGTAATTACCATAGGACAAACCTCGGCTTGACGTCAAAGTAGAGATTGTACTTTTTTTTTTTTTTTTGTTGTCTTGCAATTTTTTTTTTCTCTACCAGTCTAAGAACGTAACAATCGTCAGAATTTTTGAATTGCTTCTTTAAAACCTCAGGTTTTTTTTTTTTTATATCTAGAAGACGTTATGCAAGTTCGTTCTATTTAAATGATAGATTTTGATTTTAAAAAATAATAAAAAAAAATGCTTGCAGTAGGCGTAAAGGAAAATCAGCTGATTCATAACCCCCCCCCCCCCCCGTGCTTAATTGCATTTTTGCAGTTTCAAATTCGTATTTAGAAATGAAAATCCACACAAGTAATAACCACTACTGGGTTCAAAGTACAGAAATGTGCTAACACATGAACGTGCAACCATAGGAAAGTGTGAAAGGAAGACGAGTAGTTTACAGGACTGATTATCGTCTGATAGAAATCAGAAAGTCCTCCTGTTATAGGTAGGTCGACTGGGCCACACTATATCTAAACACTACCACAATGTTGGATTCTATACTTCTTATAGCCTCAACATCTTTAAAAGGGGAAGCTCATATTGACAACATTCAGACAAAAGGAAATAATTTGGGCATTAAAGTACTCTACTTCACCTACCCTAAATTAGATCATGCTTTTAAACATTCTGTCTAGCTCCTCAGAAGAAAAAATAATTCAGATGTAAAAATTAAGTTTATCTCAAGAAGAGGATCTCTTATTCTTGATCATTCGTTCCAAAAAATTCCATGTTCAAAAATCTGTGCAGTAACTTTTACTACTTTTGTAAAACATCACTATTTTAAATCTTTACAAAGTTCATCGTTTTTATACCATTTTCAACAGTTTGCATTTTATTACTCTGTCCTTCAATTTTTAAATAATACAAGATGGGACATAACTCTTTGTATTTGAACTGTTTGAAAAATAAATGCTGTCTTCTAGTTCAAGCTGCAGTCAATTAAAGTAGTTTTTTGACTTGCATAATTATAAACAATGGCTTTACAGATTTAACTGTTGTCTATAAAATGTTAAGGAAAGCTAAGTGACTGCAAAAATAGCAAATGAAAACATTTATTAAATACACGAAGGCTGCAGTGACATAATGTCTTTGAGTTTAAGTGACTGGGGTCAGTTCAATTACCCATTTAGGGGTCACTGTGGTAGAAAAATACACCCCGGGGAGTAGTGTGAATCTAAGCACTATCTCAATTATTAAAATAGACTGTCCTTTAAAAATGATTCGGTTTAACTTTCCTCAACAAAATGTAACAAGTTTTTAGGAATTAAAAACATGTATTTATTGAAAAATTGACAAAAACGTAAAATTTTAATGTAGATCACACAGCTTCCAACTTCTCCTTGACTGCATCCTTGGACCCCCCACTCATGTAAACCGCCAGGAACTGATCAAACGCAGTGGGGTTGTAGTCTATGTATCTGTCCTTCCTCATTATCCTTGGCATCCAAGGCTGTCTTCTCAGTATCTTGAAGAGGTCAGCTTGTGGTGCCGTCCAGACTAAGTTCTTGATGCCATCATCAGAGTCAAAGTCCAGTGTGTTCAACTGGAGAGAGAAATCCATTCATGATCAGAATCAAAGTCTAACGAATTCTACAGGAGAGATACATTCTTTAATGGTGAGAATCAAAATCGAATGAATTCTACTTGAGAGATAAATCCATTCATGATCACAAAATCTGGAGAGAGAAATTATAATTCACATATCTCATTTGTTTACTTTAGTAAATATTTACTTCACATGACAGAGATTCTAACTCATGTGATGAGTGATAAAAAAAAAGCTAAACTTATGGAGTTAATAACAATTGTTATACAAATAAAGCTAAACTTACAGGGTTATTACAAATGTTATACAAATAAAGCTAATCTTATGGAGTTATTACAAATTTAATAGAGAAACTAAGTTTACAGTTTAACTATTCTGAGAAGAGAGAAGGTATAAATAACATAAAGAGGCGGCAAGAGCGACAGTGACACAATTGATGTGGACTGCTGCACATGTTAAATGGTCAGGCCGCAAATGTTATGTTAACGTCCACACAAGGTGGAAATGAAAAACTCACCTGGAAGAAAGTATAGAGGAGCCAGCTGTCTTGTATGGCCACATGCTGGATGGTGATGGGCTCAGGTAATATCTTTACATCCTCCTGCCAGATACACAGGTGAGTAAATGGTCAAACACTCAGGTAAATCATCAAACAGGTGGGTAAATGGTCAAACACTCAGGTAAATTATCAAACAGGTGGGTAAATGGTCAAACACTCAGGTAAATCATCAAACAGGTGGGTAAATGGTCAAACACTCAGGTAAATCATCAAACAGGTGGGTAAATGGTCAAACACTCAGGTAAATCATCAAACACTCAGGTAAATCATCAAACAGGTGAGTAAATGGTCAAACACTCAGGTAAATCATCAAACAGGTGGGTAAATGGTCAAACACTCAGGTAAATCATCAAACACTCAGGTAAATCATCAAACACTCAGGTAAATTATCAAACAGGCAGGTAAATGGTCAAACACTCAGGTAAATCATCACTCAGGTAAGTCATCAAACACTCAGGTAAATCATCACTCAGGTAAGTCATCAAACACTCAGGTAAATCATCAAACACACAGGTAAATCATCAAACACTCAGGTAAATCATCAAACACTCAGGTAAATCATCACTCATGTAAATCATCAAACACTCAGGTAAGTCATCACTCAGGTAAATCATCACTCAGGTAAGTCATCAAACACTCAGGTAATCATCAAACACTCAGGTAAATCATCAAACACTCAGGTAAATCATCAAACACTCAGGTAAATCATCAAACACTCAGGCAAATCATCAAACACTCAGGTAAATCATCAAACACTCAGGTAAATCATCAAACACTCAGGTAAATCATCAAACACTCAGGTAAATCATCACACACGCAGGTAAATCATCAAACACTCAGGTAAATCATCAAACACTCAGGTAAATCATCATACACTCAGGTAAATCATCAAACACTCAGGTAAATCATCAAACACTCAGGCAAATCATCAAACACTCAGGTAAATCATTAAAAAAACACTCAGGTAAATCATCAAACAATCAGGTAAATCTTCAAACACTCAGGTAAATCATCAAACACTCAAGTAAATCATCAAACACTCAGGTAAATCATCACACAATCAGGTAAATCTTCAAACACTCAGGTAAATCATCAAACACTCAGGTAAATCATCACTCAGGTAAATCATCAAACACTCAGGTAAATCATCACTCAGGTAAATCAAACACTCAGGTAAATCATCAAACAATCAGGTAAATCATAGTCGCATCAACTTTAGCGCTAGGCATCCACCAAACACTCAGGTAAATCATAGTCACATCAAGTTTAGCACTAGGCATCCACCAAGGACTGAGATCAGTTAGACATATAAATACAACCCCATTCTGCTGATCTTAAGTAAACATTAATAGCCCAAAGTAAGATTCTAAAATCAGCCTTTAAATTAAAACAGAGCTGTTATATTTTTAAGAAGCGGAAGCACAATGTCTATTCATATAAACAAGATTAAGTTATTAACAGATTAAAACTTAAAGACAATTTGCTATTATTAACTAGCTATTAACTTTCATACTATTGACACAAAGATATACATAAGTTTCATAAAACAAATTGAATAGACTGTAAAATACATTTTCAGATTCTAGTATCGGTTATGTAACTTAAGTTGGCAAGCAAGTAAGGGGACACTAGAATCAGGACAAAAATTAAGACAGCTTGAACTATGTCCCTTTGTTGCTGTGAATTTCATTCCCCTAATAAGTTCACCAGGCCGATCTAGAGATCATAGCCAGATAGATAAAAATAAAAACACAAGAGATATAAACTATTACCCTAGGAGGTAGATCAAGTTATTTTTTCTAACAAAAGCTTTGAGGGAAATTTTAATCACTACCTTAAAAGAATCACTATGACTTTGTTATCAAAAAGTTTAAGAAAATGAAAGTTTTATTAACATAAAAAAATCCAGATTCTGAATATAAAGGCTAATCTTTCTATTTTATACAGCTGTCCAAAATAAGGATTCAACTATAATAATAAACATTAGTAATAGTTTTACAAGAAGAAAAATTGTAGCACAAGTAATTTAAATTTGGCCTACCCCATATTTCCTCCTGGCCAGTGCGGCTGTGTACATCAGGCTAGACATGATCTGAGATGCCTGGTAGTGTTTCTGTTCCCAGTTGGTTTTTCTTGGAATTTGTATGATCGTATGGGGAGTTAGAAGAGGGTTCTCCTCGACAAATCCTATTATTCAATTTCAAAAAAATTTAAACAGTAAATCATAAATTAAAAATTAAAAAAAAAAATCTTAACAGTAAATCCTATAATTTAATTTCAAATTTTTATAAAAATCTTTACAGTAAATCCTATAATTCTATTTCAAATTTTTATAAAAATCTTAACAGTAAATCCAATAATTCAATTTTCAATTTTAAAAATTTAAACAGTAAATCCTATAATTCAATTTCGTTTTTTTTTAAATCTTAAGAGTAAATCCTATAATTCAATTTTTTTAAATCTAAAGAGTAAGTCCTATAATTCAATTTCAAATTTTTTTTAAAATTTAAAGAGCAAGTGCTTCGAGGGCACAGTATGAAGATATGCCTGAAATCAGCAACTAATTGATCAGGTGTTACAATTAAAGTAGTGATATTTGAAAAAACCAGCAACTAATTAATTAGATGTTACAATTAAGGAAGTGATACATGAAAAAAAATCAGCAACTAATTGATCATGTGTTACAATTAAAAAAGTGATACTAAGAAAATCCCAGCAAAAAATAGCCCTGCTGTAGTACCAGCAACGTAGAGTGACCTCACCTAAATTGTTGCTGAGCGTGTAGTTGTTGGTCTGCAGGAAGTCTACAGTAAGGACTCACCTAAATTGTTGCTGAGCGTGTAGTTGTTGGTCTGCAGGAAGTCTACAGTAGGGACTCACCTAAATTGTTGCTGAGCGTGTAGTTGTTGGTCTGCAGGAAGTCTACAGTAGGGACTCACCTAAATTGTTGCTGAGCGTGTAGTTGTTGGTCTGCAGGAAGTCTACAGTAGGGACTCACCTAAATTGTTGCTGAGCGTGTAGTTGTTGGTCTGCAGGAAGTCTACAGTGGGGAACACTGGCCACATGTCTGGGATCTTGTGCCCAACACTCTCAGCAACGGCAGACTTGTCCGCAAAGAGTGGCAGGGGGGAAGGTGAGGTCAAGACCAAATCCAGAACTTCATTCATCACTATGGGTTTGCCTGAAGATGGAACATGTTTTCAATACATCAAGACAAATCCAGAACTTCATTCATCACTATGGGCTTGCCTGAAGATGGAACATGTTTTCAATACATCAAGACAAATCCAGAACTTCATTCATCACTATGGGTTTGCCTGAAGATGGAACATGTTTTTAATACATCAAGACAAATACAGAACTTTTCTTATCACTATGGGTTTGCCTGAAGATGGAACATGTTTTCAATACATCAAGACGAATGTTCCTGCATCACTAATTCCAGAACTTTAACCACTATGAGTTTGCTGAAGATGGAACATGCAATTAATAAATGTCCTGAAGGGTGGCATTGTGTGTAGCATAAAAAATTCTAGTTATAAGATTTTAAATAAAGCTTGAGTGATCTCCCCTAAACTTTCTCAAATATACTTATATAACACTACTGGGGATGGCAACTAGAGATATAGACATGCTTTTCAATCAATTTTTAATTATTTAAACTTTTTAAAATAGATTAGAATCTCATAGAAAAAAGAATTGCGCCTCAAGTGAACAGCAAACAATGTGTGTATAATAGTGCGGAATATTAGTACTTTATAAATTCATTTGCGTTTTTTGAGAGAAATCAGAAATACTGTAAAGTACTACTTTCGGTAAACAGAAATTACTCAAAATTTGAAAGAAGGCAGAGAATTAGATCTTTAACTTATATGTAAAATTTTGTCTATCTAACTGAAAAAGTACTCAAGTTATAGGCTTTTAAAAAAACCAAAAGTAGAATAAGTTCTACTCCTGTTACAGGAAGTCACTGAAAAGTTGATACGGAACTACAAATTTGATATAATACTTGTATATGAAATTTCATCAACCTAGCTGTAACGGTACTCAAGTTATCTTGTTAACAGACACACATCCACACACAGACTTAGCAAAACTATGTTTTCCAGACTAAGGGAGATCTAAAACGTTGAGATTTGTTACAACAAAACCCCGATTTCGATTTTTTGCATGATTACAATAATGATAACTGAATTATCTTGACAGAAAATAGCAAATCAGAAACTGTTTTCACAAATTAATAAACATACCTTTGTAATTTATATATGAATAAAGAGGAAGATCAGCTATTTGTGTCCTTTGACAAGACTTTAAGTGAAATGTTTCTAGCTGACAAAGACGAAGGAAATTCCTTAATAGTATCTGCCTGAAAAAAAAATTCAAAAGCTTAAATCAAACAGAAATAGGAAATGTATTACAAGTGCTGGAGGGGGGTGTGTGAAAAGAAATGTTCTGGTCCCAGGGGAGGTTTGGAGGAATTAAATTTAAAAAAAAAACTAATATATCCACTTAAAATTATTGTCCTTTATATAAAACTACTCCGTTTTGAATGCATTAGATAGGCTATTAAAAATCGATTGTGGTAGAAACATTAAGTGTAGGTTTAGAGTAGAGTCTCTTTCTGTATTGTGTCTTGTGTGAAATGTTAAGTTAATAACTTCTGTAGCATAGTAACCACTGGGAGGGAAAAATACAAGCAATGGAGTAACGACTTTACGATTAGGGGGCTATATTAGGCAGGGAAAGGTTAGAAGAGTCATTTATTGTTCAGTTATCGTAGGATCCTAGTCTCATGTTATTGTAGTTATTGTAAAGTATTATTATCATTAAGTCGTTGTCTGAGATCATCATTATAAATATTTATATTGTTTCAAGTGCAATAAAGGCATAAGCCATAAACAGGCTTTGTATTGAAACAAGTTATTTGAAGTTTTAGGTAATGATACTCCCTAAGATCACATACCAACAATTAGCTCCCCCCCCTCCCCATGGAAACCTACATTTTATTATCAGATATTGTTAAATTACAAACTTAATAATTTAATGCTACATTAAAATCAAATCCAAAAAATAGACATCACAAATAAACTCCCAACTAGATTTAAATACACCTACGATGACTTTAAGCTAGTGATGCCATATTGAGCAGTCCAATGCCAGCGAGGTTTGCGTGGGTCAAAAGGTTTTGGCAACCTGTCCTCATCAGTATTCCAAACTCGAGACTGCATGATATATCTTTGCAGCAGGAGGTCCTAAAATTGACATACCCGTAATCAATAATGCTTACATGTATGGTAAATAATTTTACTTCTTTGCTTTCAGAACACAGAACAGCAATTGAATAAGATAGAAAAAGTTTTGTTCCTATTAAGTCAATACTTACCTTATCCTCAATATCCAAAGCACCAATTAATCCTTCAACTGCAGGAGGAAATCCCTCAAAGTGTTGGGCTTTAGCAATAAGGCAGGCTTGCTTGATCCCTAGAAAGGATTTGCAAAATATAATCAAAATCAGTAAAAAAAAACCTGTCTACCAATATGATTTTTTTAACAAGGCTTAGATGTTTAAAAGACTAAAATAAATAAATTGAAGACAAAAGAGAAATCTAAAAAATACTCTTTATGACCTTGTAGTTTTGATGGTTATTACCTATATGTGAAAACAAGGGTAGCTATTTTGTAAACTTTCTAACAAGGGGACATTATCATGCAGTCTTTATTAGATCTACCCTTACCTTCAAACAGGCGAACATTATCATGATGTGCGAATGCTGGCTCTGTTTTCCAGTCAAGCCGTTTCTCATGAGGAACTACTTCTGCAAACCTGGGGTCATCAGGAACTGGTGGTACCCACTTTGGTTTTGGTATTTCTGTTTGTCCTACATCAACAACTTTAATACCTGTTTGTATACAAAATGAAAAGATTAATGTAAAGTGTGTGCCCATGTCTCAGTAAATACAGGTGTAACTAGCTTATAGTAAAGACCAATCCTAATCTTAAAGTAGTGGCAGGTCTCAGTACATACAGGTGTAACTAGCTTATAGTAAAGACCAATCCTAATCTTAAAGTAGTGGCATGTCTCAGTACATACAGGTGTAACTAGCTTATAGTAAAGACCAATCCTAATCTTAAAGTAGTGGCATGTCTCAGTACATACAGGTGTAACTAGCTTATAGTAAAGACCAATCCTAATCTTAAAGTAGTGGCAGGTCTCAGTACATACAGGTGTAACTAGCTTATAGTAAAGACCAATCCTAATTAAAGTAGTGGCAGGTCTCAGTACATACAGGTGTAACTAGCTTATAGTAAAGACCAATCCTAATCTTAAAGTAGTGGCAGGTCTCAGTACATACAGGTGTAACTAGCTTATAGTAAAGACCAATCCTAATCTTAAAGTAGTGGCAGGTCTCAGTACATACAGGTGTAACTAGCTTATAGTAAAGACCAATCCTAATCTTAAAGTAGTGGCAGGTCTCAGTACATACAGGTGTAACTAGCTTATAGTAAAGACCAATCCTAATCTTAAAGTAGTGGCAGATCTCAGTACATACAGGTGTAACTAGCTTATAGTAAAGACCAATCCTAATCTTAAAGTAGTGGCAGGTCTTAGTAAATACAGGTGTAACTAGCTTATAGTAAAGACCAATCCTAATCTTAAAGTAGTGGCAGGTCTCAGTACATACAGGTGTAACTAGCTTATAGTAAAGACCAATCCTAATCTTAAAGTAGTGGCAGGTCTCAGTACATACAGGTGTAACTAGCTTATAGTAAAGACCAATCCTAATCTTAAAGTAGTGGCAGGTCTCAGTACATACAGGTGTAACTAGCTTATAGTAAAGACCAATCCTAATCTTAAAGTAGTGGCAGATCTCAGTACATACAGGTGTAACTAGCTTATAGTAAAGACCAATCCTAATCTTAAAGTAGTGGCAGGTCTCAGTACATACAGGTGTAACTAGCTTATAGTAAAGACCAATCCTAATCTTAAAGTAGTGGCAGGTCTCAGTACATACAGGTGTAACTAGATTATAGTAAAGACCAATCCTAATCTTAAAGGAGTGGCAGGTCTCAGTAAATACAGGTGTAACTAGCTTATAGTAAATACCAATCCTAATCTTAAAGTAGTGGCAGGTCTCACTAAATACAGGTGTAACTAGCTTATAGTAAAGACCAATCATAATCTTAAAGTAGTGGCAGGTCTCAGTACATACAGGTGTAACTAGCTTATAGTAAAGACCAATCCTAATCTTAAAGTAGTGGCAGGTCTCAGTAAATACAGGTGTAACTAGCTTATAGTAAAGACCAATCCTAATCTTAAAGTAGTGGCAGGTCTCAGTAAATACAGGTGTAACTAGCTTATAGTAAATACCAATCCTAATCTTAAAGTAGTGGCAGGTCTCAGTACATACAGGTGTAACTAGCTTATAGTAAAGACCAATCCTAATTAAAGTAGTGGCAGGTCTCAGTACATACAGGTGTAACTAGCTTATAGTAAAGACCAATCCTAATCTTAAAGTAGTGGCAGATCTCAGTACATACAGGTGTAACTAGCTTATAGTAAAGACCAATCCTAATTAAAGTAGTGGCAGGTCTCAGTACATACAGGTGTAACTAGCTTATAGTAAAGACCAATCCTAATCTTAAAGTAGTGGCAGGTCTCAGTACATACAGGTGTAACTAGCTTATAGTAAAGACCAATCCTAATCTTAAAGTAGTGGCAGGTCTCAGTACATACAGGTGTAACTAGCTTATAGTAAAGACCAATCCTAATCTTAAAGTAGTGGCAGGTCTCAGTACATACAGGTGTAACTAGCTTATAGTAAAGACCAATCCTAATCTTAAAGTAGTGGCAGGTCTCAGTACATACAGGTGTAACTAGCTTATAGTAAAGACCAATCCTAATCTTAAAGTAGTGGCAGGTCTCAGTATATACAGGTGTAACTAGCTTATAGTAAAGACCAATCCTAATCTTAAAGTAGTGGCAGGTCTCAGTGCATACAGGTGTAACTAGCTTATAGTAAAGACCAATCCTAATCTTAAAGTAGTGGCAGGTCTCAGTACATACAGGTGTAACTAGCTTATAGTAAAGACCAATCCTAATCTTAAAGTAGTGGCAGGTCTCAGTACATACAGGTGTAACTAGCTTATAGTAAAGACCAATCCTAATCTTAAAGTAGTGGCATGTCTCAGTACATACAGGTGTAACTAGCTTATAGTAAAGACCAATCCTAATCTTAAAGTAGTGGCAGGTCTCAGTACATACAGGTGTAACTAGCTTATAGTAAAGACCAATCCTAATCTTAAAGCAGTGGCAGGTCTCAGTACATACAGGTGTAACTAGCTTATAGTAAAGACTAATCCTAATCTTAAAGTAGTGGCATGTCTCAGTACATACAGGTGTAACTAGCTTATAGTAAAGACCAATCCTAATCTTAAAGTAGTGGCAGATCTCAGTAAATACAGGTGTAACTAGCTTATAGTAAAGACCAATCCTAATCTTAAAGTAGTGGCAGGTCTCAGTACATACAGGTGTAACTAGCTTATAGTAAAGACCAATCCTAATCTTAAAGTAGTGGCAGGTCTCAGTACATACAGGTGTAACTAGCTTATAGTAAAGACCAATCCTAATCTTAAAGTAGTGGCAGGTCTCAGTACATACAGGTGTAACTAGCTTATAGTAAAGACCAATCCTAATCTTAAAGTAGTGGCAGGTCTCAGTACATACAGGTGTAACTAGCTTATAGTAAAGACCAATCCTAATCTTAAAGTAGTGGCAGGTCTCAGTACATGCAGGTGTAACTAGCTTATAGTAAAGACCAATCCTAATCTTAAAGTAGTGGCAGGTCTCAGTACATACAGGTGTAACTAGCTTATAGTAAAGACCAATCCTAATCTTAAAGTAGTGGCAGGTCTCAGTAAATACAGGTGTAACTAGCTTATAGTAAAGACCAATCCGAATCTTAAAGTAGTGGCAGGTCTCAGTAAATACAGGTGTAACTAGCTTATAGTAAAGACCAATCCTAATCTTAAAGTAGTGGCAGGTCTCAGTACATACAGGTGTAACTAGCTTATAGTAAAGACCAATCCTAATCTTAAAGTAGTGGCAGGTCTCAGTAAATACAGGTGTAACTAGCTTATAGTAAAGACCAATCCGAATCTTAAAGTAGTGGCAGGTCTCAGTAAATACAAGTGTAACTAGCTTATAGTAAAGACCAATCCTAATCTTAAAGTAGTGGCAGGTCTCAGTACATACAGGTGTAACTAGCTTATAGTAAAGACCAATCCTAATCTTAAAGTAGTGGCAGATCTCAGTAAATACAGGTGTAACTAGCTTATAGTAAAGACCAATCCTAATCTTAAAGTAGTGGCAGGTCTCAGTAAATACAGGTGTAACTAGCTTATAGTAAAGACCAATCCTAATCTTAAAGTAGTGGCAGGTCTCAGTACATACAGGTGTAACTAGCTTATAGTAAAGACCAATCCTAATCTTAAAGTAGTGGCAGGTCTCAGTAAATACAGGTGTAACTAGCTTATAGTAAAGACCAATCCTAATCTTAAAGTAGTGGCAGGTCTCAGTAAATACAGGTGTAACTAGCTTATAGTAAAGACCAATCCGAATCTTAAAGTAGTGGCAGATCTCAGTAAATACAGGTGTAACTAGCTTATAGTAAAGACCAATCCGAATCTTAAAGTAGTGGTAGGTCTCAGTACATACAGGTGTAACCAGCTTATAGTAAAGACCAATCCGAATCTTAAAGTAGTGGATTTACAGAAATGAATAGTTTTCCATGGTTACGACTATTGATTGGGTCCGAAAGGACATTTTGAATCATTTCTACCTGACTAGTCTAACTACTTTAAAATCTAATTCTAATCAATCTAGAGAAGATCTTTGTGTTTAAGTTTAATAAAATAGATTCTTGGCCTGTGCCTTTTGACTTAATTTATACCAGTAAGCTTATTAGTTTAGACTTTGAGGTTTTATACTTTTAAAATAAATAAAAACAGGCCTAGATCTATATACCTAAATTAGTATAGTATAGATTACTATCTAGATAGGCCAAATGTAACTGTAAGTTTGAATCAGTAGGCCTTGTAAACCAAACACTGTAAATTCAAAACTAATTATTACAGTGTAAAGCAGGGCACTAAGAGCCGTGTGGTATTAGGACCGAATCAGCACCCCACCCTAACAAAACCCCCAATAAAACTACTAATCTACTTCTGAGGTAACAACCACTGCTGTTCTTTGATAACAGAGAAGCAGAGGATTAATTTTATGTAATTTATGACCCACTTGGTCTAGCAGGAAGAAGACCAGACAGGATTTAATCCCATTGCTCTTTCCCTAAAATTTCTCATCTCCATAAAACCATTTTGTGAACTTTCTTTCCAAGTAGACATAAATTAGGAAACTGCACTTTGTAAAAAACAAAATGAATTTTTCAACACCATTCTTTGTTCTCTTACTAATGTATTGGTTGCTGTACATTTTAACACAATTTTTATAACTATGGCTAGAATAATTTTATTTTAGTGAATTTTTTTTATACAGTGATTGTTGATGCCAAAACAAAATTGCCAGCATTTGTCCGGTTTTACTATGCTATAAAGTTTTTATCATTATCATAGTAAAACTTGACTGATCAATATCAGAATGGTTTTATTTAGATAACTAAATCTACATGAAGAAATTAATTTTGTCCACTGGCTTGCATATTCAGAAAAGTTATAACAGATACTGTTATGTGGCTCTTGTTGCCCTCTGTGAAAGTTTTTCATTTATTAGATCACTGAATATGATACTGGTACTGGAATAGTTAACTGTTAGACTTGTGTCTAAATGATAGAAATACAATTCTAATTCTAACCTTCTAAAAAGCAAAAATACAGACATCTGATGTTAGCCAAGTAATTTTAAAATGGTACACATACTTATTACCCCTAAGGGGCAATACATCAGACTCAACCCTCACCTGTTTCTAACCAACCATAAAACTTCTAATCTCTTTGTAAGTATTAGGGACAACTAATCTAAGATCTCAGCCAATCTGGGGTGGTATGTTATGTAATTTATGACCTTCATGGTCCAGCAGGGAAGTGATCAGACACATTAATATCACTGCTCCCCCCTCACAATTTCTTACCTCCATGATACCCAGCCCCCACATGTACCTAGCTCACCATAAAACTTCATCTTTGTAGTACTTAGATCTCAGCTAATCTGGGGTGGCATGTTATATAATTTATGGCCCTCAGGGTCCAGCAAGGAGAACAAAAGGATAATCAGTACCAATGCTCACCCCTCAACATTTCTCATCGTCATGTTATTTCAGGGGAAAGCATAAAGGTAGATTAGCTAGTGCCTTCCCTTTTTACATCCAAGAATCGTAACTCTGGACAGCTACACACTAGGTATACTTCTGTGCCTACTGTAAACTACTAGACTGTAGGCTCTATGTAGACCTGCAATTGTATCAATTGCGGACTGGGTCCAACGAGGCCTAGTGATAGCTGGTATCATTTAATGTGAGCACACACAGCATTAACTATTTTGGGGTTACAAATTATTTTATTGTGGAGTAAGTCTAAACTAGGAGATAATACTTAATGCCCCATGGCCGGGCTACATTTACCCCAAATGCTGATTTTGGGGGTATGGCTATAAATGCTAAATTTAACTAATTTAACGTAAATTTAATAGCCTTTATTATTATTTTTATATTGTGTAAGAAGTGTTAGAATAATTTGGCATTAATTTCAATATTAGAAAATATTTGGATTAGTAAAAATCTTTAAAAATGTACAGGTGCTAAAAAGTGTGGCTCTTAGTGCCTTCTTTACCACTAATTAAGTAATGAGATTACACATAATTTATTTTTACTATTAAAGAAACAGCTGCATTGTTTCAATACCACCCACTCCCATTCTTGAATCAAGCGTTACACTTTTGACTTCAACCACATTAGTAATTTTTTTTTTTAAATGTGGTGGAGAAGAGGCGGAGGGCTGTATACTCCTTGAAACCGAGCGAAAAATAATTCATCGAGGTATTGACCTTAAATGACTGTGCAGCATGCGGGTATACTTTTTTTCCCTTGAAAAATCAAGGTCGCGCAGTGTCTTGTCCAATCCTAATATATAAAAGCCCATGTGCACACTTCTCTCTCTCTGTCCGCAAAATATTTTCGCCGGATATCACATCATCAATTGATGCGGATTTTTGTTAAAAATAATATGGTAGATGTTTTAAATGTATAACCAACATTTTATTTAAAAAAGAAAAATAAAAAAAAAGGCATATTCAAATATTGGAAAACAGTTTTAATTATGCAACAGGAAAAGTGTTTATAGTTAAAGAACGCATAAAACAACCATGTCACTCGCCAAATGTTTACGCAAAACGCATGGCATCATCTTCCGATTTTAGAATATAAAGAAATAAACTATTTCATTCAAATTTGATTTAGATCTATGCACGCTATGAAATGTATATAATACAATTTTCTTGGCCTAAACTTATAAAATTTACTTTATCTAATTGGATTCTAGATCTAGAGATTCTAGATCTAGACTAGATATACGGAAAAGCTAGACGTAGACACTAAGATCTAGATTTAGACTATAATCTACTCTAGAATCTATTCCCATAATACATTTTTATTTTAAAAGACAGAAACAACATAACTGCCTTTGAACAGCAGAAACAACATAACTGCCGGGTTTTTAACGAAATGTTTTAAGTCTCTTAATCAGTGAGTGCATTTAATATGGTATGGTTTTTTTTTTTTTTCTGATGAAGAAATGAACTATTTCATTAGATATATGCATAAAAACCTAATAAAAATAAATCATTTTAAAAACACGAAGAATACAGTTGAATAGTCGAGTTTTTAATGGAATCATTTAAGCCACTTAATCAGTTAAATCAGTGTGTGCCTGTGTTATGTTAAATGTGTCGGATTTTTAGCCAATTAGTTATTTTTTTGCTTTGTCACTAATATCGTTCAGCGTGTAGTAAGGCACATTGCTTTTTGACCAATAACTATTTTATAAATTATTTTTCTCAAACAAGTACAACATTTTAAAATATATAGGCCTATAATTCATGTGAAATGGGTACCGATGGCTAGTGTAGACTTAATGAGTAAAAGTGGGATGGCTAGAAATGTATAGCGCCCTATGTTAAAGTTTTTATATGCATTGACTGTGACACCTCAAAAGGCGGGTTATTTTATTTTTTTTTCTCGCGCGGGGGAGAAGGGGCAACAAAGCTTAAAGAATATTGAATATCTAGATATAGATTTTAAAAATATAGTCTAAAATTATATTCTCTTTATGAACTCACACTGACCCATCTATTAGATGGGTTTTTCGCCTGCTGACAAGAAAACGAGAGCGGGCGGTCAATTATTTGGTAAACGGAAAAAAAGTCACAGGAAAAAAATCACAGTTTTTGCTAGGAAAAAAAGTCACAGTGGAAAAATTTTATCGGAAAAAAAGTCACAGAAAAAAAGTCACAAAACTCTTTTTAGAAATATTTTTATTAATTTGTTAAGAATTGTAAAATTTTGTATGTTTATTGTTGTGGGTTGTATTTTTTGATAGCATAAATTATTTATAGACGTTAAAAGCATTATGATTTATAACAATTGTAAGTAAAAATACTCTAAGATAATTAACACACCAATCTCAACTTTTGTTACGTATTTAGTTAAATATGCGGTAGAAAAGTTAATTATAAAAGAAATTTAGGCACATTTTGCGTAGGCTATTCTCTGGTCGGCCTCTCATCTGTAGGCATTGTCCGAGCATATTTTGTGTTGTTGACGTTATGCGTCAATGACAGCCTTTGAACCTTGTCGGCTTTCTGTTTTGATCCTAAGTTTTGTTATGTAATGAGCGTGATAAATGTGGGCAGTAAAGGTAGTTGAACTAAACATAACTATTGTTGCCATGAGTTGAGGGCAGCAAGTCATATGAACTTACCATTTCACGGTAATTTAATATTGGTATTTAAAAAAAAACACGATGAAAAACGTGGACTTAGGAGCATTCTTTTAAATGCTACTAATCTTAAATTTAAAATAATTACAATCTACATACTTCATAATAAATATTTTTAGACGAATTATAAAAATTCATATGCGTATACAGCCTACACACGTTACATTACATTTAATGAATCCTAAGTTAATTTACACTCTCTAAATAACTTATACATAAAAGTATTAACAAATATCATGCAAATATATATTTGTGACTTTTTTTCCTGTGACTTTTTTTCCTGTGACTTTTTTTCTGTGTTTTTTTTTTCCTGTGTTTTTTTTTCCTGTGACTTTTTTTCCTACATTCCAACATAGGATGTTTAGATTGTTTAATATAGAGATCTATATAGGGCCTATATATAAAAAACCAAAACTAGATTAGATTTAAAATAAACCGGGAGTGATCTCCCCTAAACTTTCTCGAATATTCTTATAAAAACAACAGGGGATGGGAACTCGGGATTTAGACATGATTTTTAATCCATTTTAAATACATAAACTTTTTAAAATAGAATAAAATCTTATGGAAAAAGAATTGCACACCAAGTGAATGCCAAATAAAGATGTGCATAATAGTGCGCAATATTACTAGTACTTTATAAATTTACATGTAAATAGCATAAATTACTACTTCCGGTCAACGGAAATTACTCAAAATTTGACAGAAGGTAGAGATATAGATCTTTTACTAACATGTGAAATTTCATTTATCTATCTGAAATAGTACTCAAGTTATAGGCTTTTGAAAAATTCAAAGTAGAAAAAGTACCACTTCTGGTTATCGGAAATCGCTCAAAAGTTGATACGGATCTACGATTTTGATAAAATACTTATATTTAAAATTTCATCAACCTAGCTGTAATGGTACTCAAGTTATTGTGTTTACACACACACAGACATACGGACAAGATTGCAAAATTATGTTTTTCCGTATCAGTGAGGTGTAAAACGTCAAGATTTGTAAAAATCTCGATTTTTTTTTTTCACGATTACAAGACTTTCTCTATACTTTGTATGTACGAGAAAGTAAAAAGGACAACACACACTGTAATGGTACTCAATTTATTGTGTTTACAGACACACATGATGATACACACACACAGACATATGGACAAGATTGCAAAATTTATGTTTTACCGACTCAGGGAGGTGTTAAAACATCGAGATTTGCAAAAATCTCTGGATGATTATAGATACCGGTGTCCGATTATAGACTCTTCCATAAAATAGGTGTTTTGGGTTGATAGTAGTATTGTAATTTCGACTAATTTTATGGTTAGAAATTAGGGTTAGTTAGGAGTATGGTAGGACCAGGGTTGGGGTTAGGAACAGGGTTAGCATTGACATTAGCCAGCCATAAGTGTGTTTAGTTAACTGCCAGTAACCTAACATCCCTTTTTTAAAGAAGATTCCATTATCGGACACCGGTATAAACATTTTCCCAAATCTCTATTTTTTTTTGCACGATTACAATACTTTCTTTATACTCTGTATACGAGAAAGTAAAAAAAGCAACAAAAAAACATGAAACACATTTTTTTTTGCAAACTGTGTCTCACTGTTTACCCATGCAGGTAGATCTATGTCTTACATAATACATTTTCTTCTCGCAGTTTACTTTACCGCCTCACCATTTTGCAATTTCCCAACATCCTAATTATTGGCCTATGGAATAAACCTTAGTTGCCAAGAAATAACCTTCGTTGCCAAGACATGTAGATCTAGAATCTAGTTAAATGTTCATAGTCATACCTTTCTTAAAAAGAGGTTGTGGTACTTTGAGTGGATATACATAATATCTGCCACGGCACGCCCATACTTTTTTCCATCTTCGAACTGTAACATCCCGAATCCCAGCACAAAGACATACAGTAACTCGCATTTTTGTGCCAAATATGTAATTTAGAGTACTTTATTGTTTCTATTAGATTCACTATTCCAGACGTTTTATAATAAGAATCTTCTTAATATACTAGATAATACACTTATTTACTATTTCGTCGCGTAACTAGTCTTCAGGGTCACGACTCTGGACGTCGCCATTATGGAATATGGGAGGGTTAATTTTTTGTTTTTGTTTTAAGACTGTTCATTTAATACATTAGTAAAAGATATGACAAATTAATACTTTCTACTTGCAAAAAGTAGTAACAAATATATTTTTCCGATTTAAATTATATTCAATTTTTCTATACGATCCTATTACATAATATTACATAATATTAAAATTATAAATACAACTGTTACTCCCTGTTCATTGTAAATAGAAAACCGACTTCGCAATCTTAAAAAAAAATATTTTATTGTAGACTTACAGCTGGATCTATTCTTGTTTGTATGCCTTTTTTTTTCTACTTAAAAATATTGCAAATGATTTCAGCTTGTGTTAACTTATGTTAGATCAAGATCTAGATTCTAGTTTTAGTTGCCATACTTCTTCTTATTCTCAGAGGAGAAACAAACACGGCTACTTTCTAAAACTAGAGCTTTAAACAAAATAAAAATCCACCCCCTCCATCTTTATTTCAAAAGATCTGTTACACAAAATTTTTGGTCTCCATTCTATGGGTTCCACAACGTATTTTAAGTAGAGTTTCTTCCAGGCATTTCTTCGGGGGGGGGGGGGGGGGGGGCGGGGGGGGGGGGGCTTAGCCCCCCCCCGAAATTTTTTTACCGTTCCCCCCCCCCCCGAACGAAATGAAATCTATCTATCTATATATATAATTCTCCTCTGCGGAGCCATTAGAAAACAAGCTGCAAGCGCCTCCTTACAGTCCCCTCTCTTTCTCTCTATCACTATCACTACCACCCTACCCCACCCCCACATGGTCTGCTGAGCTGTGGTCACGTTAATGTTTACAAACCGTACAGCCAGGTTTAGTGACGGCTATTAGGGGCAGATAATTAAGTTTGAACCGACTTTAAACTTACAGGAGGTAACTAAGAGGAGGCTGCTTTCACGGGGGTGGGGGGGGGGGGGGTAGGGTCGGGGTTAGGGAAAGGAGGGGGGTTAGTGTTTTAAAGCAAATATTTTCAGTGGCAGCATTGGTACTGTCGAATTCACAAATTATGAATTACTGAAAAGTAGAAAATAAATCAACTAAATAGCGGCGTATGATACGCCGCGGGTCGGCTCGTATATATATAATTCTCTTCTGGGATCAGTTAGAAAACAAGCTGCAAGCGCGTCTTTGCAGTCCCCTCTCTTCCTCTCTATCACTATCACTACCACCCCCACCCCAAATGATCTGGTGAGCGGTGTTCACTCTGTTTACATTTTACAATCACAGAGACGGGTTTGGTGACGGCTATTAGGGGCAGATAATTTAGTTTGAAACGATTTTAAACTTAGAGGAGGTAACTAAGAGGAGGCTGCTTTCACGTGGGGGGGGGGGGTAGTGTTTTTAAGCAAATATTTTCAATGGCAGCATTGGTACTGTCGAATTCACAAATTATAAATTACTGAAAAGTAGAAAAAAAAAACAACTAAATAGCGGCGTATGATACACAGCGGGTCGGCTCGTATATATAATTTATATAGAGAATATATACTTTTAACAGTGTCCGCCCCCCCCCCCCCCCCCCCCCCCGAAGAAAGTCTACCGCCCCCCCCCCCCCCCCCCCCCCCCCCCCCCCCGGAGAAAAAGTCTGGAAGAAACACTGATTTTAAGTGGCGTTAATTGCTGTTTTTCTGAAGGTAGGCCTTATACCCTAAAAGGCATACACATAACTTCCTTTTTATTATTTCTATTATTTCATTCTCCGAAGACTATATACTTGCTTGAATTTCTCCCTCACGTTTAGATTTAAATAAATAGCATTACAAGTTTAAGTACTGTGACTAGCCTAGTGTGCGTTTATTAGTTTTTATGAGTAAACAAGGTCTGCAATATCCGTAACTATTTATTATTATTATTAAAGAGCAACTTTTTAAAAATTTCGAAGTTTACAATATTAGCGTTGATCTATAAATGATTTGAAAACAAAACAAAAACTGCTGTACAATGTTTATTTCATGCATATTTTTCAGGGGGGGGGGGGGGGGGCGACGACGACTTGCAACATTCGGGGTAGGGTCCTGGGGGCGAACACTGATTGAAAAGTAGGCCATATATATATATATATATATATATATATATATATATATATATATATATATATATATATATATATATATATATATATATATATATATATATATATATATATATATATGTAATATAGTGAGACTTGTGAAGTCAAGGGAACTCACTCTTCTGTATTAGTATTATATTTATATTGTTATCTTGAGTGATGTCCCTTACATGTTTATGTAGTATTTAAGTGTCTCGTGACTTCCGCCCTCTCTCTCTTTCCTCATGGTGTGAATAAACTACTGTTAACAATCAATGTGGCTTCTCGTCAGTGATTCCCAATCCATCACAATATATATATATATATATATATATATATATATATTATATATATATATATATATATATATATATAAAATATTGTATATAAATTCTATTTTGTTCGTAAGAGGGAGGGGGTAGACGTACTTCAGGGAAATGCCTGAAAGAAACTAAATGTGGCACTAAATGTGAATGCGTTTTCTAAAATTAGAGTTCATAGTGAGGTAGATTAAAAAATTAACCGAGGCATTAAGTTCATAAACTATGGACGTTATGGCACAAAGCATGACGTCAATTTGGTTCAGTGTCTCTGACAGGATGTAAAACTCTTGCAGGAGTTTGGCAGGAACCAGGATGACGACATAGACCACGCAGATGGTGACGAACATCCGCATCACTTTCAGATCTTTCATTTTCTTCGATACAAACGATGTTCTTTTTTTAGTAATTTTTCGGATTGTTATAAAATGTTTCATCAAAATCATGATCGTACAAACGACGATGATGACAAAAGGAACAGATGAGGTAAGAATAAACCGGTTTAGATTAAAGTAACTTGATATAGCGCTTAACCCTTTTAAGTCTATGGTGACATCCAAATTCAAAATGTATTTATAGAAGTAAACTTCAATGTATTTGTTTTCCAGCAAACAGGCCAATGCTGAATAAAAGATTGTCAAAACTAGCAGAAACTTGATTCGTGTCGCTGTGATACACCTAGAACAGCCCCACGGCAAACAGACAACGATAAATCTCTCCACAGCTATTAAAGCCACTTGGTTAAAACTTGCCACGATTGCAAATCGATTTAAAACAATAACGATGCTGAGGAATTCGATTCTCACGCTGGCTATTACCGTGTAGCAGTGCTGAGCGCAGACGACAAGTAGATTACATTGTATCCCAGCTGCAGAGAAAAATAGATGTGTGACAGCCAGTGACGCTACGATAATGTTGGTGGAGTCACGGAGTCCTTGGCGTGACGCCTCCATTATCGTAAAGAAATTTCCCAGAATTCCAAAGACACTCAAGACGTTCATCAACGCGACATTCAAATAGTAAATTAAACGCTGAGTAAATAGAAAACTCGGTGTTAAATCAGTTAACTTAAAAGATATGGTCTCATTTTCGGCTAAAGAAAGAATATTTTCCCAAAAATCCATTAGTGTGTGTAGTCCTTATCGACGCAGCCTGCAGAAAAAATATTTAGTCTGATAATTTTCTAATTTTCAAATTAAAAACTTAAATTATGTATTAACTTGTAGGCTGTATATTTATAACTATAAACAAATTATAACGTCGTAAGGATTTCCTAAATCTCTAAAACAGATTAATCTCTCTCTCTCTCTCTCGCTCTCTCTCTCTCTCTATATATGTATATGTAGAGGCCATATATATATATATATATATATATATATATATATATATATATATATATATATATATATATATATATATATATATATGTATATATATATATATATATATATATATATATATATATATATATATATATATATATATATATATATACCTTGTTTTACCTAATGTAAATTTTACTTGTTTGTTAAATTTCCTGTATTGCTAACACTGTCGATGAAAACGTGTCCTGGTTTAAAGAAAACAAAGAAGACGTTCAACCAAAAGACATTTATTAGTATTTCAGTTGTATGAATCACAACGGTCTTTTAGTCGTGTGAATCACAATGGTGTTTAAATCGTATGAATCACACTGTAAGTGATGACCTCACTTTATTACAACTCACCATCCACGCGTTTGAAAATTGTCTTTGTTGACTGCAGTTAAGAACAAACTCGATTTAATGTTATCGAGTTATAAAATTCATTTCATTTTTAGAAAAGTACAATTTTAAATTATTTTTTTCTTCTTATGACAACTTAATTTCTACATTAATGTCTGTTTATATGCGTGTTCATAGATAAAGTTGTATAGCTATGATACAACAATTTTGAGATCTCTGATTTTCTGATAAAGACAAATAAATGGATGACGCTAAACATTTTACACCTACAAAGATATGAGATAAAACATCGAGACAATGCCATCAAAGTAGATATTAAAATAAATGTGAAGTGTTATTGTTATGACATTTCTGTTAGATCATGACTTCAAAACATTAAAAAAAATGATAGTGTATTTTTTCAAATTTTAAAGCATTCTTAAGGTTTAGATAGTTGATTCTTGACAAAGAGACGAAGACTAATATAAAATAACATTAAAATTAATAACAAAATTGAAACCTTTTGTTATTAAACCAGCGTTCTGTGTTATAACTTGCCTAACATGTTTGAAAATTTTTCAATTGTTTTTTTTAGCTTTATTACAGCTTAGAACATTTTTTTAAAGTTACGACATATAATTCGAGCCATTAAATTGATGTTTCTTGTTATCTAGCCTATAGCAAGTGTTGCTTGTGGTGGTCTTTGTTAAAAGACGGTTTACATTTCAGCATCGAAGTTTTCTTTAATTTAATTTATACCAGCGCTTTTTAAGGCAAAAACTGTTTACTTTGTCTTGTTTTATCAAACGTTTTATCTAAAATATTACCAAGCCGCTACTGGAGAATAGCTTATACAACCAAAAAGTAAAACCGCTACTGTGTATGTAAGCAAGCTGTTAATTCCGTCTCAC